AGAGAGAGAGACAGAGAGACAGAAAGCTAGAAATCACCCCCCCAGGGGAGATGGCCATGCTGCAATCCCTTCTCCTCCATTCTCCTCTTGGGACCCTGGGCATGCACACACATGTGCCTGGCGTGAGTATAAGCCACCAGGTCTGAGACTCGAACCGTGGTTGACTACATGGGAGTCCAACAACATAGCCATTATGCCAACTGCTAGTCCCCAGAATGTACTTGATAGATACCTTCCTCGCATGCTTGCAGGGCAGGGTGCTGGGGGTGGGGAAGACAACAGACACTCAGAGCTCCAGCAAGAGAGCTGGATCATCAGGGGAAAGAAAATTAATTAATTAATTAATTTGTTTATTTATTTATGAATGAGGTTTTTGCTATAGAGCACAGGCACTCTCCAGAAAGACAGAGAGACAAAGAAAAATCACCCCCCCTGGGGGGGATGGCCACACCGCAATCCCTTCTCCTCTATTCTCTCGGGATCTTGGGCATGCATGCACACACGCCCAGCATGAGTTTAAGCCACTGGTTCCGGAACTTGAACCGCAGTCGACTACATGGGAGTCCAGCGACAAAGCCATTATGCTAGCTGCTGGTCCCCCTGGATTTATTTTTAAAATATTTTATTTAATGTATTTATTTATTTGTTTGTTTATGTTTTATTTATTTAAATTTGACCAGATTGGGGCAGAGTGAGAGAGGGAAAGTGAGAAAGCAAGCCGCCAGGTCCAAGACTCAAACCTCAGCTGGCCATGTGGGAGTCCAGGATCCCCAACCATCATGCCACCCGCCAGCCCTAGAAAGAGAATTAATGTGAGCTGAGTGCCTTCAGTGATTTCCTTTCTTTCCTTTTTTCAAGAGTTTGGCGGGAACCAGCAGTTAGCGTAATGGCTATGTCGCTGGACTCCCACGTAGTCGACTGTGGTTCGTGTCCCGGACCCGGTGGCTTAAAACTCACGCCGGGCGCGTGTGCGTGCGTGCCCAAGATCCCGAGAGGAGAATGGAGGAGAAGGGATTGCGGCGTGACCATCCCCCCTGGGGGGTGATTTCTCGCTTTCTGTCTCTATGTCTCTCTCTGTCTGTCTGGCGAGCGCAGGCGCCCTACAGTGAAAATCTCTCTCAAAAAAAAAATCTATAAAAAAAAAAAGAGTTTGGCTAGGGTCCAGCAGATGGTGTAACAGTTATGTCGCTGAACTCCCACATGGTTGACTGCAGTTCAAGTCCTGGGCCTGGTGGCTTAAAATTCATGCCAGATGGGACCAGCAGTTAGCGTAATGGCTATGTCGCTGGACTCCCATGTAGTCGAATGCAGTTTGAGTCCTAGACCCGGTGGCTTAAACTCACGCCAGGCGCGTGTGCGTGTGTACACGCCCAAGATCCCAAGAGGAGAATGGAGGAGAAGGGATTGCGGTGTGGCCATTCCCCCCTTGGGGGTGGTTTCTCGCTTTCTGTCTCTCTGTCTCTGTCTGTTTGGTTAGCCAAAACCTCTAAAAAAAAAATAAAATTCATGCCAGGTGTGTGCATATGTGCCTAAGATTCCGAGAGGAGAATGGAGGAGACTGTGGCATGGCCATCCTCCCTGGGGGGGGGTGATTTCTGGTTTTCTGTCTCTTTGGTGAGTGCACATGCCCTATAGCAAAAATCTCTTAAAGAAAAAAAGATTTTGGCCATGAGGCGTGTGAGCTCACTGGAGAGAGACAGTGAGAGGAACGGAGAAAGGGAAAGTGAGAAAGCACTCTACAGGTGGAAGGGCCATGCTACAATCCCTTCTTCATTCTCCTCTCCAAATTTTGAGTATACATGCATATGCGCCCAGCATGTTTTTCGAGTTGCCTGGTCCAGGATTTGAACCACTGAGTCAGCCATGCAGGATCCAGTGCCTAAACCACCATGCCACCTGCTGGCCCATTCAATGTTTCATTTTATCTATTTATTTATGTATTTATTTATTTATAGTTGTTTTGCTTGTTTGTTTTTCCCCCCATAGGGCTCCTGTACTTGCTGGAAAGAGATGGAGAGAGGGAAAATGAGAAATCACTTGTCAGAAGAGACGGCCATGCCCTGATATCTTCTCTTCCACTCTCTTGGGATTCTGGGCACTCATGCACACACACCCAGCATGATTTTTCAAGTTGCTGAGTCTGGGGCTTAAATCACAATCAACCATGTGTGGGGGGGTCCAGCGCCTTAACCACCATGCCACCTGCTGGCCCCAGTGTTTTATTTTAAACATTTCAACAATTATTCATGTTGTTCAAAATTCCAGTGACAAAGGGGCTCACAGTTAAACATGTCTCCCCCTACTACCTCAGAGGCAAAAAATGCTATCAACGTGCCTAGGAATCTGTCATATTTAAAAGTGCATTTTCTCATTTAATTCTCTCAAAACATTCTGGAGGCAACATTACCAACCTCATCTGAGATACTCTCTAGCCATGAGGATATTATTGTCCTCAAACTGAGACATAGAGAGATTGATTCATTTACCCAAGATCACCACCATCAAGCGATATAACGGGGACAATCAGAAGCCAGGGCAGTGAGACCTTGCAACCCACGTTTTCTTCTCTGAGTCCCATTTTAAAAATCTTTACATAATACTGCTCCAGGCGCTGAGATTCTGCAGGACCTCTGAGTTTGGAATCTTTTTTCTTTTTTTTTTCTTTATTTTTTAATTTGCCACAGTACATGTGCACTCACGGGAGAGGGAGAGAGAGTAAGTGAGAAAGCATCCCCCATGGAAAATGGTCACGCTGCAATCCTTTCTCCATTTCTCCCTCCTTTGGGGATTTTGGGACATGCACCTAGCGTGTTTTTCAAGCCTTTAGGTTTGGACTCAAACTGTATAGTCAGCCATGTGGGATCCACCTGCCTTAACTGTCACACCACAAGCTGGCCTGGAATCCTTTTCTCTGACAGACACACACCTGATTGCAGGCAACTGACTGCTTTGTGCGTGCGTGTGTGTGTGTGTACGTGTGTTAAGATTTTGTCATAGGGTGTGTATGCTCACCAGAGAGAGATAGGGAGACAGAGAAAGGATAAGTGAGAAATCAGCCCCCAGGGGGATGGCCACACCACAATCCCTTCTCCATTCTTCTTGGGATTTTAGACAAAAATGTGATGATTTTCAAGCTGATGGGTCTGGGACTTGAACTGCAGTTGGCCAATATGGGAGTCCAGCGCCTTAACCACTACGCCGCCTGCTGGCCCCACTGACTGCCTTTATCTTCCCCAGGAGCCAGCCTGGACAGGCGGCGGCATATGTCACCAACACCTCCAATTTGCCTGCTATCTACCTGGGCATCTCCATCCTTTGTCTCTGTCGATAGGAGTCACCAGAGTTAATTCTGAGCAGCGACACCGTGAGCCTCCTCGGCAGCACACCACATCCCTGCCCATGGAGGCCAGGAGCAGCGACTGCTCCGACTGCCAACTAGAACCAGCCCCTGCATTGCCTTTGCCGTACTCAACATGACACGCCCTCGGCCAATGCCACGGCCCATGTTCCAGCATGGCTGAGTTCCGGGCTCAGCCCAAAGCATCATGTTCGCTGAAGCGCATGCAGAAGACTCTGAGGGGCTGGGACGGGTGGAGGGACTGCTTTAGGCAAACCAAAGATTCTGCCCTCTGTGAATTTCTGTTTCTGAAAACCTGACACCCTCTGAAATGGAACAGGGCTGGGCTGCAAATGACGCACTTGCATTGGCCCAATAAGAGAGGCCCATGCAAATTGCCTGATGCACCTGAAACCTGGGCCCCGCCAGGTAGGTCACCTGGAGATAATTGGCGATTTCACCTCCGCAACCCTAGGACCGTCCTCCACGCCTGGTTTCCAGGAGTGCTCTTACCATATACCTTCACAGTCGAGCAGGCTGCAGCGGACTCTGATGTGAAGCTATAAATAAGGCTGAATTGCACTCGAAATCTAGGTTCCAGAACTCATCACAACTTGCCTTCTCTAGAGCTCATTTTCTAGGAGGACAGATTGCTAGCAAGGTCTCTAAAGTAAAGCCAACCGCATGATAGTCCTTTGGCAACAGATGTATACAGCTGAGGCAAGGAAGCAGAAGGTCCAATTCTGAATCCAGCAACTAAAGAATAATGATGATAATGGCAACAACTACAGACCGTGTAACATGAACCAGGCATTATATACATCTTTTACATACACGACCTCATTTAATTCTCAAACAGCCCCAGGAAGTATCTTATTATACCCATTCCGTAGATGAGGAGACTGAGGCACAGAGTGGCTTAGTCACTTGTCCAATATCACGTACACAGTAAGTGGCCAGGATTCAAAGCCAGGCACCGGGTCTGGCTCGGCGTGCTCGTTCGGAAG